CTAAGTCTGAAAGGCGCTGTTCTGCTTCAGTTATACGTTTAGCGTTATCTCCCAGATCCCTTCTAAGCTGCTCTATTCCCAATGATACTGCTCTCTCCACAGCCTGAGTAATAGTAAGTAACAGTAAGGAAGCGACAGCTTGTGCAATCTTTTCATATTGATCTATGGTAACTAAAGGTGTTGGCATGCCCCAGTGTAGCTGCAGTCAGTGCCTGTGTCTCTGCCATACCTGTTCCTGTGTCCATGCTGCTGTGAGCGTCGGCCATCTTGGCTGCAGGAGGGGAGAGCTGCTTCCCTCTGGCCGTGCAGTGGGACTGGAGTTGGGTGGAGCCGGGCAACAAGTACCGATCCATGCAGGGAGGATCGGGTGGCACTTTTGTGCCTATTAATGAGAGTCCCGGATGCAGGGAGCCGGGTTTCTAAGCGAGCTTGTCCGGAGCCGCGGGTCCCGCTCCTAGTGCACGGAACCGGAAGTGGGCAGCTGGTGTTAAGGGCACTGCATTTTCCATGTGTTCCCCTGTTCTTCCTGATGGGTGGATGTCACAAGAGATTGTGGGAGCATGAGGTGTGTGACACTATCCCAGTGTGTGCTTTATGCTTTTTGGCACTTCTAGCTGAGAGCTGGACATGGTTTGAGTGTTATTTCCTGGGCCAGGTGCACCATGCAGTCAGGCTGGCAGCCAATTAAGGCCGCAGCCTTGCTGCCTACTGGGCAGGTAATGTTGCCGCCATCTGAATTTTGGGCCTTGCCCCTTCCCTGATGTAATTTCCGGCTGGTAGCTCCTATTCTCTCCCAGCGGGGTGGGGGGGATGGTAGGCAGGTGGTTGCCCCACCTCGTTGCTGCCTCTTGTGAGCTGTCCACAGATGAGGCGGTCATCTTCAAGTAGCCTCAGCTGACAACCATTTTGCAGGGGACTTGCCGGCGGCTTGCTCTGTGAGCGCGAGTCGCATCTGGCACCAGGCCAGTCCTTCTTACTCAGGCAGTGGATGGTAGTTTGGGTCGCTTCTGCTTTCCTAACCCTGTGCCCTTGGGTGGGCTGTATTTCCTCCCAGGAGATCGTTTAAAAAACAAATAAATAAAACAGGCAATAGGGCTCATCCTTTCTGTGGTGGTGTCCTGTGCCTCCTTGGGGTCAGCAGAGTGTTGCTGTCATCCACCCATCTGGTCCCCCCCCCATGCCGCAAACGTCACCTCCTGCCAGTCCGCTGTATACATTGCCCCCTCCGGGTGGGGCCCTTCTGCAAGTGTGTATTGGTGTATCCCCACTGGGTCTGCAGACTGCTGTGGGGACCTGGGCGGCAGAAAAAAAAAAACCCTGCCTCTGTTTCCTCTCCAGGTGTCCATGGAGACCTGAGTGGTTACCCCCCAGCCATATGCCTGAGCATGTATTACTGGACAGTGTGGCAAAAATGGTTGCCTGCAACAGGTTTCCTATTGCCATCTTGGCCATGCGTCCTTCATAACCTGCGGCCCTTATGTCTCTGGGGTATCCATGATGCTCACTGAGCAGACTGAGTTCTTAGGCCCAGGGTTTCAAAAGGAGCCTATGTGGACCCTTGGGGGTGGGGACACGCCACTCATACGGAAATCCTCAAACACTGGGTCCAAGCCCTTCCGGCTTCTGCGGGTGGCATTCAGCAAGCCTGGGCTTACAAACCTGCTTGGTCCATTGGCCAGGTTCCCCTCAGCAGAAAAGTTTTCTCTCACCCTTTCTAAGGTGTGGGACCATGTTTGCTGGTTTGCCGCTCATGGTCTTCCCTACTTTCCAACAGTGGATCCACAACTTGGTTGTGTCCAGCTATGTGATGGGCCTTGGTTCCTATCCACCAGAGAAACTTTTTTGCCTACTCTGTGGGTTGTTTGCTATAAATTCGGAGAGGTTTTTGGAGCGTTTTTACTCCAGCCTGTTATGGCTCTGATGTCAGAGGATGTTTGTTCCATCCTGGACTTCAAGGCCTGAATTGCACGGCAGCCTCCCTTCTTCAGGGGGATTCCTCATACCCATAGACATTGGGATGTGTACCTGCACATTCCTCCTTGTACTGGGCATTATCAGTTTGTGGTGCCTCCCTTTGGCCTGACCTTCGCTCCTCAAGGTACCAAGGGTTGGTTCCAATTTGGGTATGTCGGGGGACGGTCTGGGAGGTCTGTGCTGATGTCTGATTTGGTGGTCATGATACGCACCTTGCAGAGTTTGGGATGGATTTTCAGGAAATCCGCTCTGACCCTGACCAGCTGGATAGTGTATCTAGGTCTGATCCTTGACTTGGTCCATGCCATGGGGTTCCTCCCACTGGGCAAGGCCAGACAGCTTTGGTGGTGATGTGGCTGCTGCTGTTCCTCTGGTGGGTTTCCTAGTGATCCTGCATGCAGGTTCTGGGTCTGTTGGAGACCACTTTGATGGCTGCCCAGTATGCGCAGTTCCATCTACAGTGATCTGCAGATAGACATCATATCCCTGTGGGGCAAGTCTCTCCTGGCCTTGGACAATCAAGTTTGGCTGGGCCTGTTTGGTCTGGTGGCTCTGGTCCTCCTCTTTTCTGCGCTGTCATTTCTTTCACCACATGGATAGTGGTCACTACGGATGCCAGCCTACCTGACTGGGAGGGGGATAGTCCTGGAGTCTAAGTTTGCTCAGGCCACTGGTCCCCGGAGGTGGCTTAATTACCACTCCCTGTCCTGGTACTTGAGGTGGCCAGGCTGTTTGGAGAGGTGGATGGAGCTCTTTGTGGGCACCCAGTCTGGCCTCATTCAGACAGTGCCATTGTGGTGGTCTGTGCCACCCATCCAGTCGGTCTGTGGAGTGCGGACATGATGCTGGTGGCCTCCGGATTCCTTTTGTGTGCAGAGCTTTGCGTGCCTGCTGTTCCTGCCATGTACATTCCAAGGGTGGAATATTAGCAGATGGACTAGGTACCTAGGTAGCTTCCATGCATGCGATAATGTGAGTTATGATCCAGGGCTGTGGAGTCGGTAGATAAATGTTCTGACTCCGACTCCACTGTATTAATATGCGAATGTATTTTATACATTCCTTGAAGGAAAGAAAGGCAACAAGTCTACTGTATTGAACAGTTTAAGCAAAAGACAAACACAATGAAAACAACAAAGTTTTATTAATTTTTTTTTATTAATTAATCAAGTGGCTGGATAGTAGCAGCAGGCATAAACATCAGGAACAGGAACTTTACCAGTCCAAAAATACAAACCACATTATTTGGTTGTTTTAGAACAAAAACAAAGCTTATCTATATGAACCAAAAATAAAATCTGTAAAACACTATGGAAAGTATAAAGTATTGCCGCTCCTAATTGTGCGTTGCGTGCCATATAGTGAAGCACATGAAAAGCATGCTTCTTCACGGTCACTTAACGTGTTCGTTTTGCGGTTACGTGAGGCACTGCATGCATTGGTCTTTATTCTTACAGTAGAGAAGTCATTAATTATAACTTTTTGTGAATTGGGACATTTAAACTTGCTTTTTTTTAAATTCCAATCTAAATTTAATTGGAGTCGGAGCATTGTTTGCCGACTCCGACTCCACGACTCCGACTCCACAGCCCTGTTATGATCTATACCTGTACTCCCATATTAATGACAGGAAAAAGCTCCTCTCCCAGCCAAAATAACTTCCCTTGAAATACAGTTTACTGGGGGAGTTTCTGATTGGCTGACAAAACACTTTTTTTATCTTACATGAAAAGACTTCACTTGTAACAATTAGGTTCACTGTAGTGTTTACTAGATACACAAGTCATCCTTTCACCATATAATACGCCCTTGAGTCTAATTACCATCAATAAATACTTCTTGTATGGTGAAGTCGCATATACAATTCTTGATGAGTTCTTTTGATGTGTAAAGTGGTTTTGTCACTGGCCTGTTCCAGAATGAACAGTATGTGTTTCAATATCTTCAATATATATATCACACAATATACTACAGTAAGGGTTTCGGCTATCCTTGTGGCCCCAGGCTGACTTCGCCACCCCTGATCCTCTGCCCCAGTGGCTGATTTTCCATTTTGCTTTACTGTCACTGTCTGATGACTTTGCCTGTATATCTGCCTCTCAGGAGCTTATCTTCGCCTTGGAAGGCTTACATCTTGTGGTGTGAGGCTGCAGGATAAATGTAAGGTTATGCACTTGGGGGTCTAAGAATATGCATGCAACATACATACTAGAGGGAGTACAACTGGGAGAATCAATGGTGGAGAAGGATCTGGGGGTTTTGGTAGATCACAAGCTTAATAATGGCATGCAATGCTTGCAGTCTTCTGTGGCATTTAACTAAGCTGTGCATGTGCAACTTAGCTTACATCGGCAGCGCAGTACCTGTGTTCTGAAATAACTGACTTGCACATGCTGCAGTTAAGATGCTTGTAGATCAGCACCCATGAGGAAGATAACAAGAATCGCAAACTGTTAACGAAGAGGTAAGTTTGGTGCCTTTAGTTCCATTTTTTAGCCACTGTATTGTGACTGCCAAATTTGGAGCTGCAGTTGTACTCCAGGTTTATTTAACACTGAGCTCAGCAGCATTGTCTACTCTGAAAGAGGTGGACACTTGTCTGGCAGCATTAACAAGTATTTCTGAGTCTTCGTTCTGAGGAAATAAGGGGAAATCGTAAGTGCTGCAGCATATTAGAGGGGGAAATGCTTTATGTTCATAATTAGCTGTGGGATTGGTGCATGATTATGTGTTTCTTTTTTGTGCAGAATTGTGTTTTGTACATCTAATGCAGAAAATGTCACTGATAAGACTGCATTTGTTTTTTGTTTTTATACAGCAAGTAAAGAAACAGACCAAGAATTAAACTCCCAAACTAATTATGCTGCCATAGCAGCAGACAAAAAGGTAAGTTTGTTTGTTATGGATCTTCTTTAGAGTGAAATATATGTATAAATGAAACCTCTATTTGTGTTGCTTTATATGATCATTTTTATGTGTAGACAACAGTGAATTTTGGAACGTCTGTCTCAGCCCCTGTGAAAATTACTGAGAAAGCTGGTAGCGACAAAACCTTTGAAATACAGTCTCTCGACAATGCAAATTTCACAGATACACAGAAGATATCACAACATGAAGCTGGATGTTTTGTGGAACCAAGTAAACTAATACCTGTAAAGAAATTAAAAGGTACAAGCGATTTTTTTTTTTTTTTTTTTAAATAAACAAAACCAAGGAGAACTTTAGAAAAATGTCTGGGCTTTTCTTTTTGTATTCATATGACTTTGTTTCATCCCTAAGGCCCTATTCACACCTGAGCATTTTGTAGCTTAAAGCTCAAAACTTCAAAAAGTCAAATCCCACTGTTTTCAATAGCCCCTGTTCACCTCTGAGTGTAGTGTTGCTTGTAGCTGGGCACCTGCCACTCAGAAAAGCACATAGGTTAATTTTCTGGCAGACTTGGGCATTTTTGGCCCCATAGACTTCAATGAAACGCCTGAAAATCGTTGGTTTTAGCAGTTAGTAGGTCATTAGTGAGTTTTAGTAGGGCAGTTTCTGTGGAATGTTGTGGGCGGAAGCCAGCCTGTCGGGGATCAAGAAGGTTGTTGTCGCTGAGGTAGCAGTTCATACGGTTGTGAACAAGGCGCTCGAGAAGCTTGGAGGCAAACGGGAGCAGGGAGATGGGTCTTAAGTTGTTCAAACAGGTGGGGTCCAGCGAGGGTTTTTTGAGGATGGGGGTAACCAGTGCATGTTTGAGTGGGGAGGGAAAGGTGCCCATGGAGAGTGAGAGGTTGAAGATGTGGGTTAGAGAGTTTAGGATAGAGCAGGAAGGAGGCTGCAACAGTCGTGAGGGGACAGGATCCAGCGGACAGGTGGTGAAGTGGGCCTTGGAAAGGAGTTCGGTAACTTCCTTGGTGGTAATGGGGTCGAAGGAGGAGAGTGTTGAGTTTGGTGTTGGGCCTGGTAAGTTGGTTAGAGGAGGAAGCTTGACACTGGAGATCTCATCACGAATTGTGTCAATCTTCTTGAAGGGACTGGCAATCTCCTGTGCAGTAAGTAAGTTGGCGAGTGGAGGTAGTGGGGTGTGGAGTAAGGAATTAAAGGTAGATAAGAGTTGACGAGGGTTGGATGAGAGGGTCTTGATGAGAGTGTTATAGTAGGTTTGCTTAGCAGCGTGGAGGCTGGAGTTGTATTTGAGAAGAGCGTATTTGTAGAGGGTAAAGTCTTTCAGGGATTTCGTTTTACGCCATGCTCACTCAAGAGTGCGGCTGCGTCTCTTGAGACTTCTGGTGTCATCTGTTTGCCAGGGTTGTGACAGGTGAGGCCTGGTTCTGCGTGTAGAAAGAGGAGCAAGAGCGTCCAGGGAGTATGATAGATAGTTGTTGTAGGCAGATGTGGCCAGCTCTGGGCAGGACAGGGGTGCAATTTCATCATAGAGGCGCTCAGTAGCGGAGTGGAGAAGGTCAGGGCTGAGGTGATGGAGGTTTCTACAGGTAATGGTTTGCTGGTTGGAGGCATGGGAGGTAGGAGGCAGGGAGAGTGTGAAGCTGATAAAGTTGTGATCAGAGAGAGGAAAAGGGGTGTTAGAGAGGTTACAGGGAGTGCATAGGTGGGTGAATACAAGGTCAAGGGTGTTGCCATTGGAGTGGGTGGTGGATTGTGACCATTGTGTTAGGTTAAAAGAAGATGTTAGGTTGAGTAGTTGAGAGGTGGCAGGGGTGTGAACATTGACTGGAATGTTAAAGTCACCGAGGATGATGGCAGGCACCTCAGAGGAGAGAAAGTACGGTAGCCGTGCTGAAAAGTCATCGAGAAAGCGTGAAACTGGGCCTGGGGGCTTGTAGATGACTGCGATCCTTAGACAAACAGGAGAGAAGAGACGAATACAGTGCACTTCAAAAGAGCGGAGGGACAGAGACGGAGGGGCAGGAAGAACCTGGACCGTGCTTTGTGGGGAAAGAAGTCGTCCAACTCCGCCCCCTTTTTGTCCGCTGGGTCTGGGCGAGTGAGTCCAGAGGAGACCGCCATGGGAGAGTGCAGCTGAGGAGACAGAGTCGGAATCCTGGAGCCAGGTTTCAGTAATAGCAAGAAGGTTGAGGGAGTGGGAGAGGAAGAGGTCATTGATAGTAGAGAGTTTGTTAGAGGCTGAGCAGGCATTCCAGAGGGCACATAGGTGGGAGGGGTTGGTGCGTGGAAGCAGGAGAATTGAGATGAGAGAGTGAGGGTTGCGGCTGTGGCCAGAGAGGGGAGGCTGCTGCTTCTGTGGGTTGGAGTTTGATGGTGGAGGGCCAGGGTTTGGGGCAATGTCTCCAGAAGTTAGTAGTAATAGGAGGGGTGAGGGAGGTGAGGTGGGAGCGAGATTTATATGAGGGCAGATACCGCAGTGCTTTTGTAGCAGTGACATTATGTAGACCAAGAGAGAGCAGGAGATAAGTGCAGTGATATTGAGAGGGCAGAAGTGAGGGTGATATGTACAGGGTGTGTGGTGGGGAGGAGGGGTAAACAAGAGAGTTTATATATACAGTTGTGTTCAAAATAATAGCAGTGTGTTGAAAAAAGTGAATAAAGCTCAAAATCCTTCTAATAGCTTTTATTTCCATACACACAAATGCATTGGGAACACTACACATTCTATTCCAAATCAAAACATGAAGAAAAATATATCAAATTTGTGTTGTTCCTCTAAAAAAAAATTGAAGAAAAGTGAATATTTGACTGTTCAAAAAATAGCAGTGTTTGTGTTCTTCTTTTCAAACTCAAACATTCACTATATAAACTGAAAAATGTTTGAAGATTTTGCTTTCCTTTGAATCACTTAATATTTAGTTGTATAAGCACTGTGTCTGAGAACTGCTGTACATCTGTGTTGCATGGAGTCAACCAACTTCTGGCACCTGTGAACAGGTATTCCAGCCCAGGATGATTGGACTACATTCCACAGTTCTTCTCTATTTCTTGGTTTTGCCTCAGAAACTGCATTTTTGATGTCACCCCACAAGTTTTCTATTGGATTAAGATCCGGGAATTGGGCTGGCCACTTTTATAACGTCAATCTTGCTGGTCTAGAACCAAGATGTTGCACGTTTACTGGTGTGTTTGGGGTCGTTGTCTTGTTGGAACACCCATTTCAAGGACATTTCCTCTTCAGCATAAGGAAGCATGACCTCTTCAAGTATTCTGATGTATTCAAACTGATCCATGATCCCTGGTATGCGATAAATAGGCCCAACACCATAGTATGAGAAACATCCCCATATCATGATGCTTGCGCAACCATGCTTCACTGTCTTCACAATGTACTGTGGCTTGAATTCAGTGTTTGGGGGTCATCTGACAAACTGTCTCCGGCCACTAGACCCAAAAAGAACAATCTTACTTTCATCAGTCCACAAAATGTTGCGCCATTTCTCTTTAGGCCAGTCAGTGTGCTGTTTGGCAAATTGTAACCTCTTCAGCACGTCTTTTTTTTCAACAGTGGGACTTTGCGGGGGCTTCTTGCAGATAGCTTGGCTTCACATAGGCGTCTTCTAATTGTAACAGTACTCACAGGTAACTTAAGACCTTCTTTGATCTTGCCTGAGTCCTTGCCATTTTGGCTATTCTTCTATCCATTCGAATGGTAGTTTTTCGCTTTCTTCCACGTCTTTCAGGTTGTGGTTGCCATTTTAAAGCATTGGCGATCATTTTAGCTGAGCAGCCTATCATTTTCTGCACTTCTTTATATGTTTTCCCCTCTCTAATCAACTTTTTAATCAAGGTACTCTATTCTTCTGAACAATGTCTGGAACGACCCATTTTCCTCAGAATCTCAGAGAGAAATGCACTGTAATGTCAGGGCAGGAGCTGTGGAACGGACAGGCAGGCCTAGTGGCAGGGTTACGCACTGACTGACGACAACCACCACCCACAGACCGGAGTCCCTCAGGGCGCGGAGTCTAAGTCCCAGGCTGCCCTTCACCAGGGCCCCTGATGGTGGGGATGGACTTGACGCAGCCAGGAACCAGGTCGCAGCCCCCGAGACACCCCAGCTGCGGTAATGGCCGCAGCCAATGGCGTGTAGCTGGTAGGTACCAGATTAGACAATAGCGTAGTCGGGCAGGCCGGGTCGACAGCAACAAGACAAACGGTACAGAACAGTAGACAAGAATAACAGGTCACAGGCCGGGTTCAGCAACGGGAGGTCAGATCAAAGGAAAACGCAGAGAATGGTCTAGTCAAAAACCGAGTCAGATTCCAGGAGAGTCACGAGAGTATAAACAGAGCTATTGCAACACTAACACACAAGACACGAATGCAGAGAGCATTTGCAGACAGCAGGCTTAAATGTGATGAACCACACCCTTCTGAGGAGGAGCCGCAGAAGCCTGAAGGCATAAAGGTTCCTACCATGCTTTGTAGAAACCCAAGATGGACACCAGCACACGGGATGCACAAGCTCTGAGGAAAGGTAGGACCTTGACATGTAACCAGCATGTACAACATTTGCTGCCTTCCTTCCATAAATAAGGGCAATAATTGCCACCTGTTTGTCAAAGAATGAATGACCTCACTAATAGAACTCCACACTGCTATTATTTTGAACATGCCCCTTTCAATTAATGATTCAATTACACAGAATCAGCAGCATGCTTGTCATAATAACTGTTGGGTCTGTTGGATTTCTATTACTCTACTACACCTGCTAGTAATTTATTTGCCATGTAGATATATCATTTCTACCAAAAACAGTGATTGATCAGGTTAGTGATGTCTGACTGCTATTATTTTGAACACAACTGTATATATGTACATACATACAGTGGGTAAAATAGGTATTGAACACGTCACCATTTTTCTCAGTAAATATTTTCTTGGCTTTCCATGCCTTTTTGCACCTCTCTTTCTTCATGTGTTCAATACTTTTTCCCTGTGTCATTCCATTTTGTTGCTCATAATTTAATTTCTGAACTTATTTGTTTTTTTTTTTTTTTTGTATGTATGGATTGTATGCGCTGTTGGCAAAAATGTAATGTCAGTAGTACCTTTAGAAATACTTTTACCAAGAAAAATGGTAATATATAAATAAATTATATATATATATATATATATATATTGTGTATTTATTTATTTGTATGGTATTGTATTTATTTGGTTATTCACAGAATTTGACAAACCACACAATTCTGAGTTAATCTACACAGCTCTTGTGGTTCTTGTGAGTGCTTATTCTTAGCCTGCTGCATATGTATTTCTTATGTAATAATAATAGTTTTGTTTCTTGTTCATGTAAGAAATTATGTTGAGCTTGAGAGGAATATGTTTTGGTTGTAGGTAAACTAAAAGTAAAAGTGGAGCCTAATGTCATGAAAAAACAATCTCCAGCCAAAACTATATTACAACAGAAAGCACAACAAAGCTCGCCAGTGGCTGAAGTTAAACCTCTAAATACTACCGTTACCTCCAGTGATCAAGAGAGAACGACGACTTTGGTAAGAATCTTTTTGAAGCGGTTTATTAAAGTTACGTACCGCAGAATCGTTAATGTAGATTTACTAATGCATGTAGTATTGCCATGTTTTTGAGAGGGCCCTTGGAGGTAATAGAGATTGCTGGGCACGCTGTACAAGAGCATTTAGGTGTCTGCATGTAGATTCTATTCCTCCACTCTGCTCACTACTGCTCCAGTTAGACTCCAAACAGAATACAGCATTTTAGCATCAATCAAACTTGACTCAAGACTTATTAGAAAACTACTGTAGCTTCGCTTAGGATGACATGAGCTGGCTTGATTTTTTTTTTTTTTTTTTTTTAACAGTGAGGAGCTTCAGATTTGAATTGCTCACAAACATTTTGTCTTTTGAATCCTACTTTTATACCAGAGTATGACATACAGACAGTTCTTTTTATGGTGAACAATTGGCCATCTATATTTGGTGGTAACTCTCCCATAGCCTCTCTATATGGTATAGAAATGATATTGGACAAGAAAAACTACTCCTATCAGCTAAATTTGAGAACTTCTCTCTTGTACTTAATCCAGTGGAACGAACATATAACCTGAAGAAGCCTAACCTTTAGAGATTCTCAGAAAAGAGGTAGGGAGAAGCCTTGTCCTACACATACAAAATTAAATCTCAAGGGTATAATTAATGTCAGAATAACTACAAAGTGCTAGTAATTCTTAAAAATTTCTCTTCAATGCGCTGTATCAAAAAGTGCATTCAAACACATTTTTTGTAATTAAGTGTTCTTGCATGGCAAGACCACTTATTGTTATCTCACATATATATTCTTATTAAGTGTTCTTGCATGGCAAGACCACTTACTGTTATCTCACATATATATTCTTATTATTATAGCCAAATTTACCACCCTAACTCCTCCCACAATTTTTACACTACATAGACAGTAATATACCGAAACATGCGGATTGTTCCCGATTGGTGTACTATTACTTTGTGGAACGTTTCGCCCAATGGTTCACGAAATATCAGCGTTTTTGTGGTAAAATTGGTCCCATAGGAATGAATGGCGGAATGTTCAAAACTAGAGTGGGAGCTGACAAAAGCTAGAGTGTGAGCTGAAAAATCAGGACATTATTTCTAAACTGCCATCACTCCATTTTCAAGCCCACCTACACAAATCTTATATCAAAACGTTCAGCTATCCCTGCTGCCACTAAAAATGTCCATGGCTAAGCCATAGTCCTGATAGTTTCAGTCCAACCTTTTCACAGTTACTCCAGCCACTCCAACCACACAACAGTTACTCAAGCCACTCCACCCAGTTACTTCGCCCACTCCAGTTGTAGACTACTGGTGGAGACAAGAACACTTCTCACAATTTCCCCAGAAATTGTAGCTTTTCTAGTTCTTATTCTTATTATAGCCAAATTTACCACCCTAACTCCTCCCACAGTTTTTACACTACATAGACAAGTAATATACCGAAACGGGAGGATTGTTCCCAATTGGTGTGCTATTACTTTGTGGAACGGTTCGCTGAATGGTTCACAAATATTGCCGTTTTTGTGGTGAAATTGGTCCCATAGGAATGAATGGCGCAATGTTCAAAACTAGAGTGGGAGCTGACAAAAGCTAGAGTGTGAGATGAAAAATCAGAACATGATTTCTAAACTGCCACCACTCTCTCATTTTCAAGCCCACCTACACAAATCTTATATCAAAACGTTCAGCTATCCCTGCTGCCACTAAAAATGGCTAAGCCATAGTCCTGATAGTTTTCACAATATGACCATTTGTTTGCAACTCACGCTGACCATTGACATTCATTGAATCTCCACTCTAAACACCTGAAATTTGAAGGACAATTTCTAAACTGCGACTGTGCATTCATTTTTAATATTTCAGAGACATACTATGCAACAAAATGTAGGTTTGGGTCTTGTGATTCCCGCAATATAAAGCTCTTCACTGTAGGATATACAGTTTTAAAAATACAACCGTTTGAAGATGGCAACCGCCAGTGAAGTGAGCAAGTTGGAGCAGTTTGTTTTTAACCATTCCTCTGCCCTTGCTGTAGAGTGAGTTGCCATAGGAACCCCGGTGTATGAGCAGGCAGCAGAGTAACAAAAGCTACTCCTCCCACTCCAGTTGTAGACTACTAGTGGAGGCAAGAACACTTCACACAATTTCCCCAGAAATTGTAGCTTTTCTAGTTATAATTTACTATCCAAATAATAATTCTCTGACCATTATTTTGATTTTTACAATAAATCAAGCATAAACCCTAAACACAATAAACATCCATTAAATTAGGGGTGTCAGATAGTGTACAGAAGATAAGCACTGTTCAAAATAGGACACCTAACTAATTAATCCTAACAAGAAACACGTTATATCACTTATCCCAAGGTATTTTGATTTAATAAAGTGGGTATTCATACAGTTTGAGCCTTTGTACAATATCCTTGACAGTGAACAATAACAAATATGTCCCCATTTCTCCCATAATACATAACAATAGAATTTTTTATTAATTAGTTATCATAATAATGACTTCTATATTATGTCTTTAACCGCTTGCCCTCCTGAAGATTTACCCCCCTCCCTGACCAGGACTCTTTTTGCTATTCAGTGCTGCACTATTTCAACTGGTAATTGCGCGGTCATACAATGCTGTACCCAAACGAAATTTTACTTTCTTTTTTTCACACTTTTTAAAAAAAAATCCCAATAAGTGTATATTGATTGCTTTGTGTGAAAGTTATAGTGTCTACAAACTATGGTATAGACACTGCAATTTACGCCATTTTTTGCTATACAGCTCTGCACTAGTTTAAATGACAATTGCGTGGTCATGCAATGCTGTACATAAATTAAATTTATGTCCTTTTTTTCACACAATAGAGCTTTCTTTCAATGGTATTTGATCACCTGTGTGCTTTTTTTTTTTTTTGCGTGCTATAAACAAAAAAAGACAGAAAGTTAAAAAAAATATATATATTTTCTCATTTCTGTCATAAAAAAACCTAAAATTTCGTCTTAAATTTAGGCCAAAATGTATTTTGCTACATGTTTTTGGTAAGAAAAATTCCAATAAGTATATATTGATTGCTTTGGGTGAAAGTTATAGTGTCTACAAACTATGGTATAGATCAGGGGTCCTCAAACTGTGGCCCGCCAAGGACATTTATCCGGCCCACCGGGCAGGGGCGTATCTGTCACGAGGCAAGGGACTAGGGTTTGGCATGTTGGGTGAGCTTGGCAGAGCTCGGGCGGGATCAGAAATTCTAGAACAGGGGAAGGTGGGCTCGGCTTTGCAGTCAGCCGGCCATCTATTCTGATCAGTGCATGCAACCATCACGGCCGGAGGGCGGAGCCTAGAGCTGACCATGAAGAGGGGGAGCAAGAGAGGAGACTCCATCACTGCACGTCGAGTATCACGGCCACGGACCCTAGATAAGTGCAATAGATGATCGATCTCACTCTCTTTCCCCCCTCTCTCCGCTCTCTTTCCCCCCTCTCTCCTCTCTCTTTCCCCCCTCTCTCCTCTCCCCCCCCTCCTCTCTCTCCCCCCCCCCTCCTCTCCCCCCCCCCCCCTCTCCACCATGGGGCGCAACTGATTGGAGGGACATCTCCCTACCCATCCATACAACCATCCACTAGCGACCAGTGACTGATCTAGTCATTCCAGCACGGTCTTCAGCTCAAACAGTGACAGGATTTGTAACAGACCACTTACACTATGGAGTTGGTATGTCCTGTAATTAGGCAGGCAGTGTATATACTGAGTGTTCTTCTAACGAGCTGATTGGAGGAAAGAGACACCCACCCACAGCTCACAGGAACAGAGCTGAGGCTGTCAGTCTGATAGAGGAGATCCTTCCCCATCTCCATTTTTGTCTTGGTGTCACGAAAACTTGTCAAAAGTGATTCATGGTGATAGCAGGGGAATAAAGCAGCAGAGAGAAATGAGTACTTAGTGAAATTGAGACAAGTACACACACTATAGAGGGATATGGTTTGTTCATATTTCCTATCTGAGGTTTATCACTATTTTAAGGAGGCTGGGAGGAGCTCATCATTGAAGGTGTGTTTACCTTAATGCAGAGAACGAATTTAGGTAAAAAAAAACAAAAAACTTATGGACTTAGAACAGGGTTGCTCAACATGTGGCCCTCCAAGCCCTCTGATATGGCCCTCAACCTCAAGCCAGGGAAGTGCATACTTAGTGTTGGTAACCCATTGATATGATTTGGGCTTGCTAACTCACCAGCCCAGAGCATCAGAGTGCATCGAGCCGATACCAGCAGCGGAGGAAGCAGGTAGCCACGGAGAGGGCCGCATAAGCCAATGCTTCCTCTGTAGCTCCGAATTCTGTCCCAGGTGGAGTGATAACACTGTTCAACAAATTTTTATTTTTTGCCAGTTTTGGAAACAAAAGGATCCATTTGTTAATGAATTTCACATTCTGAGTTCAAATATAACAATGAAATTTGTCAGTTGGCTCTAGTTTTTCTGTAAACGGAAAGTTTTCTACTATAGGCGTAATGACTACATAATGCACAATAATTATATAGATAGATGTCTTTCCACAAATATAAAGCAAGTGATATTGACTACATAACAAAGCCTAAATGGCATAATATATTGCATAGGATTACCAAGAAAAATTATAGCCATAAGCTAAGTTGAATCATTTTAATACTTAGGATTCTCACTAGTTTTGTCTTCAGTTTGTGTCGGTTTTGCTTCTCTTGGCTTTTCTCTTGTATTCGAGGAAAGGGCTATCTCTTACAACTGCACGTGACTACACGCTTCAGGTTCTTCCTCACTTGACTCAACCACGAAGGATTCTGGTGCTTTAGGAATTGGTAGCCCCTCTCCATGAGAAACTGGACGTATTGCCGATGGAATATTTGGATAGTGCACAGATAACTTTTTCTTCTTATTTAGCCCTTTTACAATTGGAGGCACCATACAAAAGTAACAATTACTGACATGATCTGTTGGCTCTCTCCAAATCA